ACTTGTTTATATTGGCCTTACTGTATCCAACGAGGGTCGTATTGACACTTCGAGTAGTTCTTGTACTTCATGGTGTGACTTTTTGTTTTTGTTTTTGTTTCTAGTTAATGCCACCCCATCCAATGTGCAGATTCCTGCATGTTGCCTCCATATATAATATATGTGGTACAGCTTTTGACCAATCAACATGTGGAGCTTCATGGATTGCTCTTGAATGGAATTTTTAGCTGGGTCCACACTTTTCCTTATTTCCCTTCAGCTCTTCAACCAAACATCCTTACAAATTTTCTCATCCTGCAGAAACCACCAAATTCTTGTTTGTTAAATTTCATCACACTTTTCTTGTTAAATCAGGTCGGCACTTCTCTAATTCCCTAATGTTCATAACTAATTGCATATGATTAAAAAAGGCCACAAAGCATGACTGTAGCATCGTCCTTCTTTGCAAAGCTTGATTTCGAGGATAACTTTTATCTGTATCTGAAACTAGGTCAATCTATGGTTCTGCATCATATGCAAAGCTATGTAGCTCCTAAAGGTTGAAGAGTATCTGTTCCTGGCAGAGCTGATGATTATTGTTAGCTGGATTGCTATGATATCAAAAGATATATCACAGGAAGCTTCATTAATGGAAAAAGGAAAATTGGCAAAGCTTCACTTTGGGATTTTATCCAATGATATTCCCCATCTTTCTGATGTGATATGTCTTGCATTTGCTCTTTTACAAGAAAAGTTGTCAGGATATTATTATCAGTCCTTTTCTTGCATACTTCAGCTTTGGACTTGTGTTTCAAGTCCTTCTGATTTTCTTGACTCATCTGATACTGCCTTTATGTGCTTCTTTTCAACTCCATCGAGTGCTCTATGATATTTTTAAGTAGCGGATGATGCATTCACATATTCAGCATTGGTTTTTTGTTATTTAAAGTTCTAGTTGGTTCCTTTGTTTTCCTTGAGCAGGGTGTTTGCGGTTGTGATCGATTCTCAAGCAGCTCTACAAGTGAGGTTATACGGGCTATAATAAGGCGCGATGGATATGTTGGCCTGATGAGGGGTTGGAAACCTAGAATGCTATTTCATGCACCAGCAGCAGCCATTTGCTGGTCTACATATGAAGCAACAAAGTCATTTTTTCAAAAGCGGAATGACCAAAAGTGATCAAATCATCTGAAGATCTCACAGGGCTTTTTTTTTTTTTTTTCTCGTCTTGTTAATTTTTCTTCCAGATAGTTCTTAATCTTATACAGAGAGAGAGATGCATCGTCGCCTGATAAAAGCAATCATCCATAATGCATGCTATGGTAGCTGTTGCTATCAATGTGGATTTATTCCCAATCCTGTTTGAAAATTGTTGCAGCATAAATTTTCTTGCTGTTAAAAATAAGTGCAAATCATGTTTCAAGGTGGGGATCCGATATGGATTATCGTTTTATGATCTCATGAACTTGTGCCAAATAGGAAGGGCTTAAATTTGTTGAGAAAGCATGTTTGCAAGAAGCGTGGGTTTTTGTTGTATCTGTCTGCCAGACTAATCCAACATGAGCTATAACAGATGATGTTACTTTGCTTCCCAAGCCTGTGATACATTTGACTTGTTTGTTTTTGTGATTTCAGAATCCAACATGAGACAACACTCTCAAGAGGACAACCATTTGGTGATCCAAAGTGGGTTCAAAGTTCTTGAAGAACATACATAATCAAAGAATGAAAAAGATAGTTTTGAGTGTGTTAATGCCAAGTAAGTCTGAAGAGGAAATCAAGTGAGATGCTCCAAATAATTTTAATTTGTTTCGACTAATATGTTGTGAATAGAAATCCAATATCTTTTACTATGAGAATAAATTTTGAATTTTTAAATTGAGAACTGTATCTGTTATCGTTTTGTCGGTCTGTTTGTCTTCGATAATTAATTCTTGTCGATCAATAACAATAGTAGGAAAATTTGTATAATAATGACATACAAAAACAAAGTTAGGGTGTAAAGAAGACATGATGACAACATCCCATTGGCAATCTAATTTACCATCTCGAAGAAACCTGAAAATTTCATGCATCCTTATTTTCTTCAATCCTGTGGGGAGAATGGATTTTTGATCTCTCAGGATATTTAGGTCTTTGATTATTTTGATATCAACCCGAACACAGTGAGAAGTTGTGGCTTTTGGTCTATAGATATCAATCAGAAAATTTCAAGTCTTTTATAGTTTACAGTCGTATAATATTCTTTACAAAATAAATAGATATTATAATTTTTATACCTAATAATCACTATGGCATCAGTGTATGGAACTCCAAAAATATCAAAATGATGATATGAATTTACTTTTTCTCTTTAAATATACTATAATTGTCGTATAATTTATTACCAATATGAGGAAAGATTTCATTATATCGACTCTTCCCCTTTGCCTCGATGGATTGATCCTCGAAAATAGTCGTCGAAGTGAATTTTAATCCAACAATTTGTTGATGATGGAAATGGAACCATTCAATAATTTTTCATTATTATTTCGATCATAAACCGTGAGTATCCTTTAAGCAATGAATTCATAGTTTATGATATATTTATTGTGAACACGGTATAGCAACAACTAAGGAAAAATATAAGTCTCTATTTCGCCTTCTCAACATCAAATATCTGAAAACCTTTTTATAATCTTCTGCATTCATTCATTTAACTTAAAGATAGTAATAGCTTTAGCAGCATCTTAGAAAACTGATGTATCTCACACATCAGTTACAAGAACTTTGGAAAGATTAATCATGATTTACTTGTAGGTGATAGAAGATAATTTCTCCAATTATATGAGAAAATCTCTCTATTCTGTTGAGGAAAATCCTCCATAGCGAAATCCTTTTTCCTAATCTGTATAAATAAGAGAATGACATGTTAATATATTGAAGCTAAAGTTATTTCAATAAAACTTTTTTAATAATTATTCTTATCTTCTATTATTTTTATTAGTAGGAAGATCTTCCTGAAAGATTCCTATCAATTGAATGGTAGCGTCATAGATCTTTTAATTTTCTTATAAATGAAACTATATGAGTGTTGAAGATCATCGCAAACTTGGTTAAGTTAATCTCATATGAGATTAACTAACTTTTCATGTAAGAAACAAGGATTGAAATAATTTTTGAATATATATAAGAATCATATTTCATTTATCAAAACAAAACATCATCTTTAATTTTTTTTTTCTTCAACAATAAAAGCACTGTATAGTCATTCTATATGATCGCCATTTAATTTTGTCAAACTAGGTTGATGTTCTTTAGAGAACTTTGCAATTCTAAAACTACCGGTGGTTCTATTACAAGTTACTATCATCGATCCGTGATATGGAGCTACACATTGGCCTTCATCTTATAACTTCTAGTTTTCTTCAAACCATACCCTTTTGAGATTTTTAAAATATTTTTATCTCAAAATACTTATAGAAAGTTCAAATTATGCTAAAAATTATAATATATTCAATATAACCCGATAGGGCATATTGAATAGCCTGGTAGGGCCCTATTCAATATAGCTTGATAGGGCAACATGGTCGCCCCCACGTCAGACGTGCTACCACAGACTCGGGACGATGGTCGCCCCCCCTCTCGCGTTGTCTAGAGCCACACGAGCTAGCGTTGTCCCAACAAGGGTCGCTCCGGAAAGTTCGGGACGATGCCGCACGACATCGTTCCGCACATATCGGGTGGCGATCGTCCTGAAAGTACGAACTCATCACTCGAAGAGTTGACCGTCGCATGCAGATTGCGTATGGCCGAACCTCGGGCACCAGAATAAAAGCCCTCAACCAGCATCTGGTAAGGGGGCGCGAGCTTTCTACAAAAGTCCACTGACTTGATCTTTGGAGGGGCCTAAGTCGATAAATTCATCCCCTCTTAACCTAGGCCAGTGTGTAAGAACCCGACAGCAACGAAGCAGAACGTACCTACTAAAGAAGCACATTCGGAATCGATCACGAGCTTAGCCAGTTCCCGACCAAGGCTTGATCACCGAGACAATACTGGACATCGGTAGTCAGACTGAGCCGGGTTGACTCATCAACCACGACGTAGAGGTTCACCAACATAACCTACTTATTAATTTTAATATTATTTAAAACTATATATATAT